GCCGCGTCAGGAGGGTGTTTTCGTCATCATCGTTGTCAAATGATCTGCAGGGAAATATATATAAAGATATAGTTAATAACAGACGTTTCCTCTTAATTCGCTCACGATTATTTGCACTTAGAACATATCTAGTATAAATAACTTAACGCGCTGTATAACGCTTGAAGATAGAATATATTAACTCTCTTTATGTGATGACAGACACGAGTCTGATGAAGCAACAAAAACGTTCACTATAAGAAATGTTCACTGTTCTACCTGCAATGTGATTCAGCCCAAGATGATTTAAACATTTAACGAGTTTTCGGATCCCATATCCATTTTGTTTCTGTTTCCAAAGCGACAACATTCCACGACATTTCGACACATCGTCTGCAGTTTCAGCATCAATGGTGTGGATCTCCGATTCATTCATGTCCAGCATGCTTGCAATGTCCTTCCATCTGGATACTACTTGACTGCTTTTGCATACCGATAAGATCACAGTCTCCATCTTATTATCTAAAATGAATATTTACGATCACAATAACATCAAAACAAGTCACAGCTATATCAAATTATCATATTATACGTGTATTTATTATAATTGATAAAATAATTGTGTAATTAAACGCAAAGTTTTAAGTATAATTTTAAATTGCTACGATCAATAAAAGCACATTGTTTAACATAAAAAACCCAGTTTGAAAATATTTTATGGAGAAAATAAAAAAGAGATGTACTTGACCTCTCGTATTCCTGGCCTTCTCCCGTCGGTACCTTTTGCTGCTGTCTCTTAGAGCATCTGCCAGGTCATCCCTACCACTGTTACGTAGGGCCGCAATCAGAGCAGATGTCTAAGGATCAACAAATACAAAAATATACTACAAAATATTAGCATGTATATACAACAATCAATACAAAAACTTGTATGGTCGAACAAAGAGAACGATAATTCAAACATATAATTTTGCACACCAATGACACATTTATCTTACATTTGTTTGTTTGCACAAGTGTTTCGTAACGTTGTAATAGTGAGGGAAATCTGCGTTAAATTACTTTTTCATTTACGATCAGGGATCGTTTGAACCATGTCATGAGGATATCTCTTGCCAGCTCTTGGTTCTTTCCCTTGTGTTGCTGTTTGATTGACTGTATTCTCGGATGATCAATATTCAGGCTATTTGCAAGTGGAAGCCATCCCTCCCCAATAGCCTTTGCAAGACTCTCAAGAAATTCTGGTGTGATTGTCCCTGCATAATGAACAGATGTAAAAAAAAACTTCTACATATCACTAACAAGTATACAAGCAATATGATAATAAATCTATAAACGTTTGTTTCACCCCCTCTGGTAAGTGTGAACAGTGGCATTGTAGTTCCTGCAGGTTTGCTTTAATGATAACAACAAAATATCAAAAATAAACAATTAACTGCATGGTTAATATAAAATTTAACAACTACTTAGATATTTGCATAAAACGGACAACATGGCGAAAGTTAGTTGCTGGGTGATGGTGTGGATTTTTTAGTGATAGAGCAAAATTTTACTAGCGAGTGAAATAGACAACACTCTAGACAACAGTAACAATTTGTTGTTTATTAATGTGCTAGATTTGAAAAATACAGTTCCTGGTTGTATGGACACATTTTCATAATCAGAAGTTTTGAAACATTCATTTTGGGAAATATGTTGTAAGGTAATTAATTTATGAGATGATAAGTTTCGAGACAATCGACTTCAGTAGATAACAGTTCTTTGTTCTTTTGGCATGATATTCCCGACGCCAGATAACAAAACATAATGTGTTCGCATGTTTGGTATGCGTAAGGACTTTTAAATTAAACCGCCTGATAGAATAACTAGTAATTGTTATGATGACAATTACAAAAAAAACCATAACAATTAATCAGAATGAATAAGATGAACTAATATTAAATCATGGTATTATTTAGGTCTATCTCACCTTCGTTTCGCACTGTTACAGGAGCCCGCACTACTTTTGTGGACAGCCGAAGCACTGTCTTGGGAAGCGAGATGGGTATTTCAGTGATGATATCCCAGAATGCTTTGTTATCAACATCACTGTGCTGACAGTCAAACGGCTGCTTCGCTTTCCATACAAATATTTGAAGAAATCCACAGAACGAAGAAAGCGACCTCTGACAAAATCTGTCGACTATGTCAATCGTCCAGGCCGTGTGAATCCCATGAATTCCATAATAACGAAATATAGTTCGATGATTGGAAATTGAAGATACGTTACCACGAAAACATAAACACAGTGTATCGCCCTCTCTCATTTTTATGGCTCTCGTGGTAACGATATTGTCTGTCTCTAGTCGCATCATTTGGCGGGAGTTAACGTTCGAGGCTCGGTCACATGACAAGGCTAGTTCGTTAAGGCACCTTTTGTTGTGAGCCAGGCATATCTGTACATTTTGATATTCGATATTAGACAGAAGTCGTGGAACTATATCTTGTATCACTTTTGGCAGCAACTCCTCTGTGACTTCAAGCACAACCGAACTAAAACAATATGTTTACAATTGTTTATATATACATTGTTAATGTTAAGTTATACAAATATTAACATCTTCTTTTTCTACAAAAAATATTATGTTATCATGTAGGTAGTTGTGATATTCACATGTCAAAAATGCTAATAAACTTAATAAAATATAAACAAATAATGGCATAACGTTATATTTCCCTTCCTACACTAACATATCAAACGGATTCTAATTGTATAGTATGTATTTCAATGATAATTAAATTAATTGTTTATTATCAAATAAAAACCACTTACGTGCTTGATTTCTCATGTACAGAAAAAATAGCCTGGTCATCTACTGTGACATCATCCGAAGACAACGTCTTGACCTTGGTAGCCATACAAGATGCAAAACGAACAAGACGGCATTCTTTTTCTTGACTAGGCTCTGTAATGATATTCGGTGGTGATAATAAATGCCACCCAACAACAAATCTTAACTCATTAATCGCCAAACATCCAATACATAATAAATAGCACAACAGATACGAAATGTTAAACTAGAAGAATTATAATTGGAAATCATATGGACCAAGTTTACTGGTGCGGCGGATACTTCTAATATACAAATCAATTACTATGTTAAGAACATCATATTTTTTTATGGCAAACAAACAGAACGCTTTGAAATATACCGACATTTTCTATGAGATATTTACATAGCGAAAGAATATCAATAGTTCTCTGTTATATATATATCGTGTAACGCACATGCATACCCACAAATTTGCCGAATGTCGAGTTTTTCCTGCCCATCTGGCCTCCCCTAGACGTTGACCTGTAACCAGAATCAGGAGTTCCTAGACAAGAAGAGACACGCTTACTGCCAGTCATAGGACGGGAAGGTACGGGAGGTCGAGTACACGGCAGGTGCATGTATATTGTCTGGGGATGGTCATCATAGAAGTTAAGTGTGACAATGGCCCCAGCATTGTACAGTTTCTGTCTGTCTGTATCAAACGTCGTCTTGGTTTCTTCTAATATGCAAGGCAGCACAGGCAGCACCTGACAATTATAAATATTACATAATCTTGCATTTTAACTCTTGCGAACTTCAATATAGCTGTTAATTCGGGAATTCTTGCTACATGTGACTATTTTAAATGTTCTTTGACACTATGCAATTATTTTCTCTATTCAGAAAAAATGGTATGAGACATAATTATTTGTATATTTGTTGGTGCTTACATAAAAATCTCTTTCTTAGCATATGCTCAACAGATCTGACCATGTTTGTTTTCAAAGACGATCTTGTCCCTTTCCAAAGACAAGGTAATATCTCGTTGACAACAAACATGGTTAGATCAGTAGACTATACGCTTAGAACAAGGTCCTTAAGGATCTTTTCTCTAATTCCTCAAGAC